GTAAAGATGGCCCTCATCGCAGCATCCCGATTCTACATACCAAAAACTATTGACACCACGTTCTGCAACCCTAAATCGTACGCACACCTCCACAATGGAGCATGCCTCTTTCTGTGGGCCCTCCTAAACCCCCAAAAGTAGGTTTAGGGTTTAAAGGTTTAGGGTTTGGGGTTTAGGGGTTTAAGGTTTTTCGTATCCTAAGTTAGTCCTAGCTTTTGGAGCCCTCCGAAACCCTCAGCCCCCTGGCAGGGATTCGGTCGAGCGTCTTCGTGCTTGTCCAAACAGCCTTGGGTGGAGGCAGATCGTTTAGAGGGTTCAGGGTTTAGGGTTTAGGGTTCAGGGTTGTGTACGATTATGGAGAACTTTTACGTATGTGGTTTGATGAGGGTTTCGATTCGGGTTCATTGGGATATTCGAAGGCTCTATCCGGTTATACAGAGTTTAGGCTCCGTTTGGATTTAGGACTTATAGGGCTTAGGTTTCTAATTACTGCAGGGTTTTGGTCGGAGTTACGGTTTGAGAGGGTTTCAGGGCTAAGGCTAAGCTCCTACAGGGTGGAAGGTACCGTGCCCTGGGCCTTTATGCACAAGCTCAAACCTCAAAACACCTGATACAGGGGGTCAGTACAGTTCTCTAATCATTGAGGCACCTCTATGAAGCTATCTCGCAAAGCTCGGAATGGGTGTTGTGTTTTTGCTGTTGCTGCTTTTTTGTTGTTGTGCTCAGCAGCTGAAGCCCCGGCAAACCAGTAAGTGAGTGAACTGCCGGTGGGGGCCCAAACAGCAAAAAACAAACACACACACACACAGAGACACACACACACACACACTCCTCCCGCACCAACGGCTCTGCACCTGAAGCCCCGGTAAACCGGCAAGTGAGTGAACGGCCGGTGGGGGCAACAAAAACACCCCATCACCGCAGCAACAGCAAGAAAAGCACAACAGCAAAAAAAAACACTCTTCCCCGGAAAGCTCAAACCTGAACCTCCGAAGCCAAATTCGAAACTTGGCGTGCCGCGAGCTTGTGAAGCCGTTTCTTTAAGGGCTGTGTATCACCATGCCTACTTGGAGGCCCAGGGGACTAAGTAAGTGGGTTATAAGTAGAGTTATAAGTACCCTAAATGGAGTTACCCTAATTATAACCCGACTTATAACCGACATACTAAGTCCCCTGGGCCTCCAAGTAGTAGCTGAAAGACTACACTTTAAAAACTTTTTTGGGCTAATATGATCGCTTATAAAACTGAAAGCATACACCCTTGTTTGTGTTTATGAACTCAGCAACTAAGTCCCTAAACCCTAAACCCCTAAACCCTAAAACCCCTCAACCCTAAACCCCTAAGCCCCGAAGCCCTAAAAGCCCCTAAACCCTCGTCGCGTCTCGCAGGTGTCTTGACCATTGCCTACATGCTGAAGATCAGTGGCCCTTTCATGGGTGTCTTCCTTCTGCTAGCGGCCGGGGGGGCCTTGCGAATTTGGGGTGTAGGGTTTAGGGCTTAGGGTTCAGGGATTAGGGAGTTCAGGGATTAGGGTTTAGGGTTCATGGCTCAAAGTTCCTCGGGTAGTATTAGAGAGACCCCTTTTGACCTTCTTAACCCTACTTCTGGCTGTCTTAAAAGGGACCTTATTGAGAGGGTCTGTATCTCCAAGGGTCCCCCTAATCCTAACTCCCTCAAGTGCGTGAGCAAGAATCTTAAAGCTTCTCAAAGGGCTGTTTAGGGCTTAGGGTGTTTCAGGCATTTCTGGACCAGAGGGGGTGGTATACGTGAAGGCGATGTTGTCACTTATCATCTGAGGACCCAACAAAAAATTGAACTCGATACAAGGATAACCGGGATTTACAGGAGGATCCTACCAGCTGGGTTATCGATTTTTGTTCCACCAAGGCGGCCGAGGCTGTGTTCCCAAACCAACACCCACATGGGACCCGCAGATGTCCCATGAACCCAAAGCCCCACAGCCCGCAGACCCTTCAGCCCTGACTCCTTGCATAGGTTTAGGGTTTAGGGATTTAGGATTTTAGGGTTCGGGTTTAGGGTTTGGATAGAGTTAGAGTAATTATTTCTTGAGCATCAAGCCCCTTCAAGTTTCCTTAAACCTGAACCTTAACCATAGACCCCTGACGGGAGCGATGTATTGCCTCAGAAATCGCCCCAAGCTTCTTAGAAGCATGGATCATATTATTCGGGTTGGGTGTCGGCCCGAGGCCTTCAAGTCTCTGGCTCGCATTTAGCACAAGGGGTTTAGGGCTTAGGGGCTTAAGCCTTTTAAGGGTTTAGGGGTTTTAGGGTCCCCAAAGCAGGGTTTAGGGTTTAGGGTTTTGGTCATCATCCGCCTACGACTATGATGAAGACTCCTGCTCGTGGCATACACCTGGAACCTGCCAAACGTCTACAAGCCCGTAAGATAACCAACACCTCCGAGGAGTAGCAGTATCTTAGTCTTTTGGAGTTTTGGAGGCTTAGGGTTTTGCATAAATACCGATATTATACCTTAGGATTTCTTAGTATACTTAGTAGCTGCATGAGTACACTTTATAAACTTTTTTGGGATATTAGGATTCCTTATGAAACTGAAAGTGTACACTTTTGGCTTATGAACTCAGCAACTAAGGTCTTGCTCTGCGATGTCTCTATCACTTTAGTAAGGCCCGAGGTGGATCTAGTTCGGCCACTCTAACGGTTGGTCAGCGGTTTTGCCATACGGCGATGCGGTTTAGGTTTTCGGGTTTAGGTATCGAAATCGTCCTGGGTGCTGATTAGCAAAGGCCCCAGGTGCGTTTGATCTGAAGGATCGCTGCTAGAGCTACCCTTCACTCACAACTCCTAAACCCTAAACCCCTAAACCCCTAAACCCCTAAACCCGAATCTCCAGACCCGCAGCCGTAACAGCCGTAAACCTTGATCACACTAAATCCCAGAAAGCCTAGTCTGGACCCTACTTGGAGGCCCAGGGACTTAGTAATTTAGGGGTTTAGGGTTTAAGGGTTTAGGGTTTAGGGGGTTTAGGGATTTAGGGTTTTAGGGTTTTAGGGTTTAGGGTTAAGTGGGTTATAAGTAGAGTGATAAGTACCGTAAAGGGTAGAGTGATAAGTACCCTAAATGGAGTTGCCCTAATTATAACCCTGCGTCCCCTGGGCCTCCAAGTACACCCCTAGCGCCCAAAAACCTTGCATGCCAAGCAGAGGAGCGAACCGATAACCTTCTTGGTTACTGTAATTTCCCTCACAAAACCCGAAGGTTTAACCGCTAGCTTCTTTCATACTGGAAAAGTAAGTGAACCCTACACCCTAAACCCGAAACCCTAAACCCCTAATTGCAAGGAAACCCATGCCAGAGAAGGCTGGCACCCCACGAAACAATGACCTCGACCCGTAAACCTGACCTGGCGCCTCAAGTTTAGGGTGGAGAGACCTCGCAGGTTTTAGGTGTTTAGGCTTTAGGCTGGGTGTGTTCTGACTCAGCTCCCTAATGCCTAAACCCTAAACCTTAAACCGGGCTGGCTTAGGGGTTCAAGGTTTGAGGAGGAATGGCGCAGGGGGGAACTCCTGTCCTGGCTCCCATCCGACTAAGTACCTTTGAGTGTCCATCAGCCTTAAAGTACGATAGGTACCTTTGCGACTCTCAAACCTCATATATGGACCTACATTAACTTAGGGTCCCCTTTTGAGCCCTGTTTTTTTTTCAGTGGGGAGCTCCTTATGGTACCCTCATTGGCCCTAAAAAAAGAGACGTCCCCATGTGTTGGCAGGGAATGCTCGTCGCTTTTGCATCTTGGCGGATCTTGGGGTGCGTTTGCCTGTCTAGAGAACCCAATACCCGTTAATTAAGGAATATACCTTAAGTCATAATATTAAGAACCCTATAATATAAGGCATATTCCTTAATTAAGGGGTATTGGGTTCTCTGGGTGAGAAAACAGCCGGGGGCTCGATAGCCCCAAGCCCCACACTCGAGCTGAAGATACAGGTCGGTATGGTTCGTACTACCCCATCGTTGTCGTCAATGTCTCATGATACTGTTTATAATCTAAATCCTGAGCGTTACCTTAAGGACCCTAAACTATGGAATTCTGGTATATTCCTTACTATGGGCAATGCAGGATTTATATCATCACCCGTAGTATAACCCCTAAACCCTAAACCCTTAAGCATACTCGAACACACTAGCCGAACTACTCTGGCTTCTCAATTGGCTTTCCCCACCCCCCGGCCCCCCGCCCCACAACAAACGAAGCGGTCTAAACGACAAGACCGCCGAAGATCCGACACAGCACAGCCTCCATGAGTTTAGTTCTCTAATTCTGGGGTCCCTTTCAAAGGTCCTTTTGATAAGGGTGCCGTACTTTTTTGGGGGGCCCACAAAAAGGGAGCCTGATCTAGAGAACTGCCCATGTTTCATCCTCGGAAGAAGAGGCTAGCTGTGGAAAGGCGGTAAAGCGAAGCTGACTCGCGCCCACAGCGGTTGCAAACAATCAACAGACGCAAAGGTAACGATAGTGCACCCAGTGATCGCAATAGGGAATAAGCGTGAAAGAGGAGTAGCCTCAACTGAGGTAGAAAGCAGCAGTACTAACACAACAGAAACCAACACTCACGACACGCCAATGACATGGTTGAACCCGAAACCCCAGACAACGAAACACCTAACTCAAATTGAAACAAACCCTGAACCCTAGACCCTAAAATTCACATTTACTGTTTGCAAGATCCAAAGGAAGGACATTCAACGACCATGGGGGGTTCGGGCTTCAGGGTTGAAGGTTTTAGCGATTGAGAGATTGGAATATCGGTTTGGGTTGGGGTTCAGAGTTTTAGGGATCAGAGCATGCATTTTCATACCCTTGCTGCCACATGCCAGGACGTGGAGGCGCAACCGCATAACAGGACTTGGGGCGGTTTTCAGCAGCCGGCACCAAGGGGGGAGTACAGGGGCCTTAGAGGGTTCATTGTTCAGGGCACACAGTGTCCGGATTTTGCTACTTGAAGCCTAGGTGAGCATGGATGTGCTCATGAAGAGCGCTGTGCTGCTTCACCGCTACACTTTCGGGTCTCTCGTGAGCGCCTTTGCTGGCACTGGAGGTGTTTTGGGGTGTTGAGGCTTCTTCGCAGCTGCAGCACAGCCTCACAGAAAGCAGATTGCCTTATCCGGTACCCGTAGGAAGCAGCGTCACAGAAGCAAACACACTGCCATTTGTGTCCGCTTGGGGGGTACTTTTTCGCTGGACTCCTTCAATTCTATCCGCCGCCCATATTGCCTTCGTTGCCTTTGCCACATCGACCACGCTTGGCATGTTCTTTACAAGCAGGCTATCATTCACGATTCTCATTTCGGTCCTGCCTGGGCCCCTTTGCAAATAGCGACCATCGTCGGCGATGCCAAAGCACCCGCTGGGATGCCTAGAAGACTTTAGAACTAAACCCTAAAATTCTTGAACTCAGGGTGGTCTTGGGGTGGGCTGTCTGCTACNNGTGTGCACACACCAGCGAGCACCCATGACGTTACCACACCCCCAGATCCTAAAGCCCAGGCCCTAAAGCAGAAACCCTACAACCCTAAACCCTAAGTCCCTAAACCCTAAACCCCAAACCCTGAACCCCCAAACCCTACACCCGGAACCCAGAAGTCCCAAAGCCAAGGCTATGCCTTTGGCCCTCGGAGTGGCATCTTCTTGGCCTGGAGCTCAGATGCCCAGGCCCTCTGACAGAGGGCTGTGGATTTGAGCATTCAGGCTTTTCGGGTTTAGGGCGTAGGGATCAGGATTTAGGGTTCAGTAGGATCAGGCTTTGGGGGTCAGGATTTAGGGTTGACGGTTTGGGGGCTTAGGGGTTTAGGGTTTAGGTTCGATTTTGAGGGATCCTAAATAAAGTTTACGCTGCCTTTTGGAGGAGACAGATGGGAAGAGGCAAGTACCTTCTGTAAACTTGGTCACAGAGGACAACCCTGTTCTCTGCTTAAGGGGAATTCGTGCTAAGGGTTCAGAGCAGGGTGAAGAAATTGAGTGATCTGTTTCAAAAATTTCCGGGTTAAAGAGTGGACTCAAACTAAGGAAGGACGCTTAGGGATTTGAGTGTGGGATTAGCGGCTCCTTTTCGGGCTTCGGGTGTGGGAGTTGGGGTTGTTGGATTTAGGCACTCTTGCTCGGCTAGAGAAGATATAAACCCTAAACCCTAAAACCCTAAACCCTAAGCCAATTAGGCCCAGTGGCCCTAAGCTCCCCAAACCTAGGCCTGGAATCCAAGCGAGTATTTTGCCTTGGCCCGGCAACTTGAAGTGGCCTCCTCGAAGTTTAAAGGGTTTCGGGTTAGTCGGGTTGCTACTGGAGGTACGATATAATAGCGGTGTCATAGGCTTCTATAAGGTTGTATAAGGCGTTGGGATTGGGGTTTAGGTTTGATACAACCAAAACATGAAGTAGGCATCAGGGTTCTGCGAGGCTTCGAAGTGTAGTCGGGCAAAGACTTATGTTCGTTGTGTCATGGCTGAAGCGGCGAAATCTTGTCGCGTGACGGCGACAAGCAGTTATTGTACTTCTTCCGATATCAAGCACAAAAAAGCCACCGATGCTGCCGCTAGAAAGCCTACAGCGACGATTGCTGCTGCCGCTGCTGCAACAAGTAGTTATACTAGAGGTCCCGGCACGCCAGGACACAATAAAAGCCCTGAAGCGTTGAGCCTGAGATCCACGACCAAAGCCCAAGGACATGATGCTGTTCCTCTATGGTAACGGCTCCCTGCTCATGTACTTCATCTTCCTCGGAGACTTGCCTATAGCGAATGTCTTACGCCCTTCATCGTCCTATAGATGTGTCTACCCATGAAAATCCTTGGGGTCCTGAAACTACAACCCAGTTGAATGCTAGGAATTGGCAGTATTGCAGGGATGTGGAAGGGGCCCGAAGTTCGTGGGTGTTGCATGGTTAGGGTGTTACCTAGGCCCTCCGATATAGTTCGCTTTGGTGGGTGGTATTGTGGATATCCTTAAGCACCGAAAAAAATGGAGCGATCAGGTGGGGTTTAAGATGACAGGGTTTTGGGGCAGAGAGTTATGGAAGTTAAGGGTCTAGGCGACTCGTTTTGGTGTTTAGGCAGGTAGGTTTTTGGGCTCGGGGCTGGGGCTTGGTCGAAACGTTTATGGTTCATAAAGCGTCATGGGAGGTTATAGGTGTGGGAGGGTGTACGGTTGAAGGGTCTTCCGGGCTACAGGTAGGGCTGCAGACAACCATTCCTTCTTGAAGCTATCGTCGGCTTGCTTATAAGCCATGCTAGGTGGTGTCATGCTTGTTCATAATTCGTGTTTGTGGGTCCAGATCATGTCTCGTATCGCCCCAACACCCATACGCATGTTTCCCATGGCTATTGCGCATGATAGTTGAGGCTGGTTGGCCTAATGCTGGGCTTTCGGATTCCAGCTTTTTTCAGACACCATACCGGGTACATGACAGAACTCGAAGATGCGGTGGCCACGACTAACCCAGATGTTATGTAGCACACTTGTGTGAGGAGTCTGCCCACCCCAAACCTCAAGCACCGGCAGAGGTGACTTTATCCCCAGCATCTTCCTCTACTTCACGGGTCAGACAGGCGTGGCATTCTTGCAGCGGTCCTGGAGTCAGAACCGAAATCCTTTGGGGTTTTATTTCTTTCGGTGTTTAGAGGGCAAATCGTTTAGGGTGCCGAGAAATCGTTTAGGGCCGTTACGAGTAGAACGATCAAGTTGTTGGTTTTGGCTCATGACATATATGAGGAACCTGTATCGATACCATCATCTTGATAACCAGATCTCAACAATCGTATCAATAACAACATATCCATACCATGAACATACACACGTAGAGGACCCTAAAAACCCGAAAAACCCTATCAACCCTATAAACCCTATAACCCACGTAGAAGCTAAACCCTAAACCCTAAATCGCGGCATGATTTCTCGCCCATGACGAAGCGCCGAAGAGGAAGGATCATGGTCCTTTTCGGATTGGCGCTCTCTGGTCCAGCGGTTTGGTTGCCGGAGGCATCGTTTATTGGGAAACTGTGGCTGAAGCTGAGAAGCGTGCAGATTCCAGTTGAGACGAGTGGCTCGATTCAGATGTGTTTACGCATTGAAGGGACAGTTCTGGTTGGTTCCAAAGATTGTTTATTTTCCATGAGATGGGGGATAATCATCCAATCCAAACGTTCCATAAGAGTTGTTAGATTTTGTCCAAGATGATGGCGAAAGCCTCGAAAACTTTGAGGTGAACAGCGAAAACTCAGCAAAAGACATTTGTAAGGCAGAGTTGGTAGAATGGATTAATACTTCACAATCCTCACGTGGGTTGCAAAGAAAAAAGTCAACGCGGTCGCGCTCGCATTTCCAGATTGTTGTACATAGATCGCCATGCATCACCTGTATCGCTAGATAGTGTTATATATGTATGTATGTATATATATATATACATATATACAAGAAAGATGTATCCACATGGTTGTGCCCTTTGTGGCAATAGAAAAGAACCAAAAAAGCAGGACTTTTGTGACGCCACCGACACTAAGGTGGAGAATTGTTTGCTACGGTCGAAGTGAGACCTGACATGAAGGTCCATGAGTTCAAGCAAGAACTTCAACGATTGAAATGGGAAGATCCGGAGATCCGAAAACGCTTCGAGATGAGACTTTCGGTGGAGAATCAGGAGCTCCTGAGTGATGACGGGATGGTCAGGGATGTGGTTTCACGAGGCAAAACTGCGCCTTAGACAGCCAATGGGAGAACTTTAAGCTTTTTGGCCTTATGTATTATGTCTATCCGAAGGTGCAGGCCATCTTTGGAATCCCGGAGGGGATCAAAGTCGTTGAGGATGAGGCCTTTGCCGGCTGCAGCTCCCTTGCGGAGGTCATCGTCCCGGACTCGGTCACGGAGATTGGACGTGGTGCCTTCAGCGACTGCACTTCCTTGAAGACTCTGGCCATTCCCAAGTCTGTCACTTGTCATTCTTCTGGTTGGCTCTTAGGACTTTAACCTTTTGGGTTTCTATATGAACTACAATAAGTAAGCTAAAAGTTTAACTTTTAGGAGGGGTTCTGAAGTCAGCCCAGGTGAGGCAGCTGGGAGACGGCGCCTTCGCAAATTGCATTTCCTTGACAAGTGTCTGGGTTCTGGAGTACCATACTTGAACACTTTTGTTTTTCTTGGACCTCTTCCTTAAAGGAACCATCATAAATGAAAGTCTATGCTTTTTTCTCCCTGGTTACTTCAAAGTCCAGTTAATTAAGGAATATACCTTAAACTATAATAGGAACCCTAATATGATTCAAGGTCTATTCCTTACTTATGGGGTTTTGGGGTCTCTGGGCCCTAAACCCTAAACCCTAAACTCTAAACCCCTAAACCCCTAAACCCTAAACCCTCTGGCAAAGTCCAGGCGTGACCATCCCTGACTCGGTAAAGGAGATCGGATCGGAGGCCTTTCGCGGATGCGCCGCCTTGAGACATGTCACTTGGCATTCTTCTGGTTGGCTCTTAGGACTTTAACTTTTCGCGGTTTCTATATGAATTATGCTAAGTAGGCTAAAAGTTTAACTTTTAGGAGAGGTTCTGAAGTCCGCCAAGGTAAGCATTCCGGAGTCGGTCACAAAGATTGGGCCATCTGCCTTTCGCGGATGCAAGTCCTTGACAAACTTGAGCATTCCTGAGTCCGTCATGGTGATTTCAGAGTTTGCCTTCTGCGATTGCAGGTCCTTGACCAGTGTAACAATTCCGGAGTCGGTCAGCGTGATTGAACGAGAGGCCTTCGGAACATGTACCTCCTTGACAAGTTTAATCATTCCGGACTCGGTCACAGAAATCCATGTCAGGGCCTTTGTCGACTGCAAGTCCTTGACCAAATTGACCATTCCTGAGTCGGTCACAGCTATTGGAGTGCGGGCCTTCTTCGGATGCACTTCGTTGACAGCTGTTACAATTCCTGAGTCGGTCATGGAGATTGGAGCACAAGCCTTTTCAGAGTGCAAATCCTTGACAGTCACCATTCCCGAATGGGATGAGTCGGCCAGAAAAATTTCTTCCCTTGCCTTCAATGGCGCTTCGGTGAAAAAGAGGACGAAGCGTGGTGGCGATGCATCATAGCAATGGCACGATCCAGGTCCGTTGAACCAACAGTGCCCAGGAAAAACGTGCAGGAGATTGGTTTTGCTTGGGGTTTCCCTTGTGATGTTTGCTTCGCTACCCTCTGGTAATCTGACACAGCAACCAAAAATTGCGATATCCAGTAGGTAAATTATGGATGTTCAGTCGACATGTTGGATTACCACAGTGTCTACATGTCATTCTGGATCTCAACAGAATTGTTTTCACTTGGTTGACATTAGGTCTGTAAGTTTGCTGGATCTTGTTGGCTTGGATGTCATCGTTCATCCACCAGGCCCAAACAAGCTTACGTTCTCATTTTAGAACCAGCCATGAAATTCCAGAGGGTACTTGTGTACCATATCCGACTGAGTTGGCGATGACATGCCTATATTTTATATGCACTTGGCTTATCTTAGCTCACAAACGGCCTCTATTCCTTCCAACTACCGGTTCCATAGGCCCATAGGCGTTCTATCAGCGTCCCATGGAAACTCGAAGAACATCTCTCCGCTCTGAAACCTACATCCCGGCACTTCTCAGAGAACGGTCCAGAATCATTGCCTACTTCGGCTATAATGGATGTCTAGGTACGCCCGTTGCTGACCGCACGACTCCGGAATACGCAGAACTGCGTGCACACTGTCTCGCTCCTCGGATAAATAAATATATATATATATTGTATATATATATATATCCATTGTGAATTAGGTCCCTAAAGCCATAATGGACATAATTCCGTAACCAAGTTTATTTTCGGCACGCGGGCTAAGTTTTTGGAGCTCACAGCAGCTTTTTAGCCTCGGGAGGCCCAGGACCCAGACCACCGGAAGGATCTAAACAATAGATCCCCTAATTTGGGACCCTATACTACTAAGGGGTACTTTCAAGGAACTCGATTAGGGGATCTATTTTTTAGATCCATCCGGTGGTCTGGGGAGCTGGTAATGTAGGAGCCTAGGTTTTAGGAGCCTAAGTTTTAAATAATTACCTTAGGGATTTAGGTTTAGGGTTTGAGCGTTTCGGGTTTAGGGGTTTCGGGGTTTAGGGGTTTAGGGGTTTAGGGTTTTAGGGTTGAGGGTTGAGGGTTTTAGGGTTTTGGTGTTTAGGGTTTAGGGGTTTAGGGGTTTAGGGTTTCCTAAGTTTTACACAATTACCTATATTATGTTTGTTTTGGGGGGGGTTCCTTAGCATTACTCTACTTTAGCTTTCCCCACAACCCTATTCTAAATGTTGAGGGGCCTCACCTGGTACCGTACTTGGAGGCCCAGGGGACTTAGTAAGTGGGTTATAAGTAGAGTTGTAAGTACCCTAAATGGAGTTACCCTAATTATAACCCTACTTATAGCCGACTTACTAAGTCCCCCGGGCCTCCAAGTATAGACCGTGATCTAGCTATTTCTTGCTGCACAGATTTCTGCAGGGTCATGAATTGAGGCGTTGGAGCTTCTTGGGCGCCTGAAACTACCGTTGATGGTATAAATCCTGCAGTGCCTTCAGGGCCCGAAACTATGGGAATTAGGGGTTTACACTCCTTATTATGGGTACTGCAGGATTTATATCATCAACCGTATAACCCTAAACCCTAAACCCCCAAAACCCTAAACCCCAAACCCTAAACCCTAAACCCCTCATTGAGACCATCAACCGTAGTTACTAGGATGAATCAGCCCTGAGGGTGCCTCAGTACTTGGGGGGCCCAGGGGACTTAGTAAGTGGGTTATAAGGGTAGGGTTTAGGAAGTTTAGGGTCTTAGGGTTTAGGGTTTTAGGGTTTAGGGTTTTAGGGTTTAGGGTTTTAGGGTTTAGGGTTAAGTCGGTTATAAGTGGAGTTATAAGTACCCTAAATGGAGTTACCCTAATTACAACCCTACTTGTAACCGACTTACTAAGTCCCCCGGGCCTCCAAGTATGACTATCATAAAGGAGCCTTACTAGTAATTACCTATACTCGTTTGGGGGGTTCCTGATGATAGTCATTCAGTTCCAACTATGGAGGTTTCTGTATGGAGCCCTGAAACCCGAAGACCCTAGTATGACAAACTCTGAGAGAACAATCGTGAAGACTTTCTTCGAGCCCTTAAACCTTTTGAAACCCTTATTTTTCAACCCTTATAGAACCCTCAAACAGGAACCCTTTCGCACCGTTCTTGGCCCTGATACTACGGACCCCTTGATTGAGGATTCTATATTAGGGTCTTCTATTTTCTGAAACGTCCATAGAGTTTTGAAACACTGCTACTGATATCCCCTTTTAGTCTGTGTCTGGTTGTACTCGCCCACAAAGGGACAACTTAGATCTGTTCTTGATTCTGTGTTTGGTCGTTGCGACAAAAAAGTTTGAAACTATTGGACGCCTGGCTAAACCCTAAACCCTAAACACCTAAACCCCTAAACCCTAAGCCTATCGATGAGGAGGGTTAAGCTTCCTGTATGCTTACACTAAGGACTCTTCGGAAAGCCCTAAACCTAATGTAGGGGCCTTAATGATTAGAATAGGTTTTTGGGGGATCCTTATTACAATTATGGTATAGTATACCCCAAACCCTATTCTAATCATTAAGGCCTCTACATTAAGCCTAAACCCTATGAAAACCTCCCAAAACGCCGTTTCATTTATGAAGGCCCTCGAGAAGATTTGGCGGAATCCAGGCAGGCAGGTCCAACAGATAAGAGAGGCTCTAGAAGGTTTAGGGCTAAGGGTACGTTTATAAGGGAAGCTCAGAACATCCCGGGTACTAAAATTCTGGAACCCTTAATAGTAGAGTCACGATGATAGGGACCCCGATCGACCGAATCGCGCGCCCTCTTGACTCAGAGAGTGGTTGGCTTTTCAGGGGCCGGAGTATGCTGGGCATTGCCACTGAGGTTGCCATGTTTCTTCTCGTGTTCCCCGTGAGCCTGTTCCGAGAACCTTGGCCCGTGCTCCACTGGGGTTGGCCCGGGACCCTAAAACCTCAAGCCAAAGTTCTACGGCTTCTGGGCCGATGACCATAGAAAGCGCGCAGACATCATTGGAGGTTCTATAGAGAGCCCAAAGTCAGGATTGGTCTACCTGAAGGGGGTTGGGGCTTTGCGTTCTAAGCCGTCCGGTTCGGTGTCTCGTGTGCCTTGGACCGTGACAACTATGCTCAAGTTGCTTCACGGCCGCTGTTCCTCAAGCATCTTACACCCATCGTGGACTTGAAGGGTTGTTTTTGAACGATAGGACTAAAAAGTGTAAGTGTGTGTGTGTGTGGCCTCTCTGGTTCTTAGAATGTGGAGTTCATGGCTTCGGGCCTCAGGGATTGGGCTCAGCTTTGAAGTCATAGGCTGCTGGAGTACGGCTATACATGTACAGGCAGGACCGAAACTAGCCCCTAAATCCTAAACCCGAAAGTACAGTGCAGGCAGCAAGCACTACATAGTTTATTGAGGCTTTTCTTAGGTGGAGTTTGTTAACTTGCGTGCAAAATCAGAGACTGCGACGAAACCACGAAACCACGAACCCTAAAGCCTAGCTTGCGCGTACTTGGAGGATCAGGGGACTCAGTAAGTCGGTTATAAGTAGGGTTATAATTAGGGTAACTCCATTTAGGGTACTTACAACTCTACTTATAACCCTAAACCCTAAACTCTAACCCCTAAAAGCTAAACCCTAAACCCTAGACCGACTTACTATGTCCCCTGGGCCTCCACGAAAGCCTGAGGACCTGTCTGCTTTCAAGGTCCTCTCTCCGCAACTTGGCTCGCTTTAGGGCTTTAGGGTTTAGGGGTCCAGGGGATTAGGGTTTAGGGGTTTAAGGTTTAGGGTTTAGGGGTTTAGGGTTTAGGGTTTCAGGGTTTGGGGGTTTAGGGGTTTAGGGGTTAAGATTTCAAGCAGGGCGCGCGCGGTCAACGGCACCCCAAAACCCCACAACCCCCGTCCTGGCAAACTCCTAAACACAGCTCTGGCCCCTGTTGCCAGAGACTCCAAAGCCCCTTTAATTAAGGAATATATATATATATATACACCTAAAAATAGTATTTTGGGGTTCCTATTATGGTTGAAAATTAAGGAATATATGCCTTAAATCATATTAGGGTTCCTATCATAGTTTAGGGTCTATTCCTTAGCTAAGGGGGTTTTTGGAGTCTCTGGGCCTACAACGCCAAGCAAAGAAGCAAAGCTCTTCCCTAAACCCTGAACCCTAAACCCTGAAAAACCCTGAAAACCCTAAATCCCCTAAACCCTAAACCCATAAAACCCTAAATCCTGAAACCCTGAAAACCCTAAAACCCTAAAGCCCTAAGCCCTAAACCCCTAAAACCCTAAACCCTAAAACCCTGAAAACCCTCAACCCCTAAACCCTAAAACTCAGCTCAAGCCCCTCTTCAAGGTACTTTCTCCTCGGCCCATAGCCCTTGGATCCTTATACACCTGCTATATACCCCATATGAACCTTTAAGGTTCCCTAGGGAGGGTCTAAGGGTCCATGACCTTACATCAAGGTACTTTCTCCTCGCGATCCTCTATACGGAGATCCTGGTCTTGGTTACGACACCGCCTCAGCAACCCCGACCCCCGGGAGGATCCAAAAAGTAGATCCCTTAGGGG